CTAGATTCTAGGAACTAATGACGATCTCTCATCGAATTCATATTATTAATAAAAGAAAATACACCTTGTTAGGAAAATTAAAAAATTTAAGTTGACATAGAGAGTTTCGTATTTGAATAGAGACCGATGTTGATCTCGACCCACAATCAAAAAATGAACAAAAAAGAAAGAAATAAAAGAAAGAGAATTATCTTGGATAAATACAAAATTATTCTAAACACATTTAACTAATTAAGTCATTCTTCAACATGCCGGTTATGTCAAGACATAATTGGATCCAATGCTAAATTGATGAGACTCTCAACTTTGGACCCCGACGTCGGGTTTAATATGATGTCATAATAAAAAATAAAAGAATTAATTTTGAAAAAATTTTCTCTTCCACGTCCAAATAAAGCACATTTAGTTAATTGGATTATTTCTTGACATGTCAATCATATCGGGATGTAATTGAATTTGATGCTAAATTGACACAACTCCCAATCTTAGAGTCTAATGTCAATTTAATACACAATGCCACAAACAAAAAATAAATTTTAATTTGATAAAAATAATTTGGAAAAAATATAATTTCTTAGGAGATATTTTTAGGATTAAATCAAATATGGTATCTTTCATCGGAAAGAGTGCCTTTAGTTAATTGTTATCTTCCCAATGACATAACCTACTCCTTAACTAAAATCTCTTAATCCAATGCCTTTTTTAGGTTCTTAGTTATCTTTAATACTAGGTGGTGACTCCATAACCTTTTTCTTAATTCTTTTTCCCTTAGTGAACATAAATTTTTTTAGAAGTCTCCTAAATATCGAGTAGTGACATCTTTCCTATCATTCAATTGAATAAGTAGTATTTGATCATTTTACATATTAATAGTTGATGGAATCATGATTGGATAGACAATAGTCCGGGTTGTCCATTAGCAAGAAGTAGTTGGGTGATGTTGTTGAGAGACTAGACAAATTCTTGTCTTAAAGGACTTTGGAGAGTTGTTGTAGTTCTTACTATATTATAAGCTAAGTATTCTAGAAAATCTTTAGAACTTCTTCATGGCATGAAGGCTTAGATATTCAACCGTGGTAAGGGCTTGAGTAATGAGTTGACGCAAGTCGTATCTTGTAATGTTGGCAAGCCGCCACTCGCTAAATTAAGGGATTTTGTACATTGTTTCCATTCTCAAAACTAAGAAAGCTAGTATTTTCAAAATTATTATTGAGATCGGGTAGAATAATGTTATTATTGTGAGCACTCGAGTTGGTTGTAGGATTAGTATTCTTTTTAGTGATCTTAAAAGGGACTATTATTGTTTTACAATTACTAACTTCCTAATGGGGTCACTAAAATATGTGAGGGGGTTCTTAAGAACTAATCAAAAGATGGGTCGGTAGACTAGTTAAGATATAAAGAGTTAGTATTATGATTTATAGAAAAAAAATGATCAACCAACCAAAAATATGGGTGCATGTTGTAAAAGACACATGAAGATTAGCATGTAGTGTTAGTAAGACACAAATCGATTGCCATATATGTTGGCCAAATTCCAAATAGATGGAACTTTAGATGATGCCCGATATTTGAGTACGAGAGCTTTGAGAAAAGAGAGAAAGTATTTAGAGGTTTTGCTAAAAAATCAAAATGTTAGAATCCCCTTACAATTCTTATGAAGTTTATATCTATAGTAATATGAGTATAACTCTTAACCGTTAAAATCATGCCATGTCATCCATATTTGGACACTCTTGAGTTGAAAATACTATGTTTTTTCTAATTAAATTACTTCAACTTGCTAACAAAATCTAAAAAAAAAAAAAAACAGCAATTGAGTTTTTGTTTAGCGAACCACGTTTTGAGCTCACCAAACTAATCTCTCAAATACAATAAAAGACATGGTATGAATACTAGTCTTATTAGAATACTGTGTCCACCAATACATAATCCAAAATCTTATTCTAGAGTTAGCCCATCATTAGTCTAATGCATTTACTATGCAGATTAATAAAATATATCAAGCTCAATCAAATCAGAATCATTGAGTAAATCAAACTCAATCAAATCAGAGTAAATCAAGTTCAATCAAATGAAAATCATAAGTTTGATTGAGATTCTATTATACAAGTTAAGAACATGATCGTAGGATTCATTTAAGCATGATATTAGCAATAATAGATTTGTAATAATTATATTTTATATTTATTAGTATAAGATTTTTAGCCCTCGAAGAGGTAAGGAACACACATTCAACTATTTGATTTTTTTTAACAGCTTGCAACTCATGTTAAAACCTAAAAAATAACATGAATTAATATATAATAAAATTAACTAAATTACATATTTAATTTTTATGCACAAATTAAACTTATACAAATTGTGTTTGTGAAATTTGCATTGTTTTTGTGGAACTTATTAGATTAATCTAAATGTCTTAAAATGTACACTAAAATTTTATTTATTTATTTATTTTTTTTTGTTTTTACAAAATGTAAATTTTAGACTTGCGAGTGCCAATTATAAATACTTTTAATTAAGTCTTAACCGATCATCCTCATTTGAAAGCCCACTAATTAAACTTAATTTGGATATATATATATATATATCCTTACTCATTTCCACATCTCTTCCTACCATTTGTATTTTTCTTATTTGATTTATGTGCTTATTTTGTTTCCATGTATTATCTATATTTAGACTGGTAATAAAGACAAATAGAGTTGGAACTTGAAATCTCTAAATAGATAGATATATTTTCAAGTTTTAAGGACGAATTACAAGGAAACGAGGGTATAAATATTAATGTTGAATCTTGGTTGATTCCCTGATGAATTGAGTACAATACTGAAAATAAAAATAGCTAGTAGTTTTGAATTGAGTGAGAGATGGAGGTTACAGTATGACAGTGTGAAGTGAGCTCGTGACTATGAGAAAGGAACATCCTTCCATGCAAATATACCCTTAGTTGTCAAAAAAATAATAAACAACTCCTTCCAAACAACCAACCCAATTACTGAGAAATTATTGTACAAAATTCTCATTCTTTAAAAACAATAATTTGGAATTACAAAATGCCCTTGACAGAGAAACCCAGGCAAGGTGAGAATAACTTCTCATTCCCTCACTTAATCCTATGAGAACTTCTTAAAGAAACAGAAAAACGACATATCATGCCCATGTGCACTCCCTGCCACGCCCACTTGACTCCATTGAGACCTCTCTCTCTCTGTACTCCTTCATGCCTCGCTAACCTATCCAACTCACAACCTTAATGCAGACAAACATCAACCAATCAATCTTTAAACCCTCTTTCACAGATGTAGCTCCTCGTTGAGACCTAGGCAAACAATCTCACTGTCCTCTCTACACCCCCATTTTCTATGAACCAGTACTGCAACTTTTATGACATGCATCGTATGAAACAAAAACATACTTGAAAAAATACCTCAAATCATTAAAGCGTCTCTTCAATTCTTAGCCCTTTGTGGAAAATATTAGTTGGGTACGTATGAGTATGGACTTGAATTCCTTCTGTATGATAGCTAGCTCTGATCTCTCAGTTTCCTCTGAAATGTCCTTAAAGCCAACGGGATGCTCTATGGATTTTTCCCTATTCTAGAAAGGTGAAAATTACCCACCAATCAATAATTGTGATACTTGACCTTGGTTGGTTTTCTTCTGTGAGCATAAACCTAGGGTTAGCAAGGTTTTCCAGCAAGGTGGTTGTTTTCTCTTATTTTTGCTACCACTATTTTATTTTACTCTAATTCTTTTGGCATATGGCTTATGCTATCGAGAAGATGTATAACTAATTATGGATTGTACACATACATACAAGAGAAGATTCAAAATAAGCGTAGATAGTGTTTAAAAATCATGACGTGAAAATATTCTCTTTGTGATTAATTAAAGCATATTATACTATCATATGCAATACTTAAATGCAGTGATTCCCGTAGTAGGTAGAAACTTTTGGAGGGATTATAAACAGCACAGAGAGAGAGAAAAAGTGATAGAAGAGAACACAAGCAAATGGACTTATGTGGGGGGAGATATATTGAAACTGCAACAAATCTGATGATGAAGATAATAGTACAAGAAAAAAGGGAATCGATGTTGTGATGTATCTAACTTATGCGTCCTTGGAAACCAATCTGTGTGTGTCTTGTGGGTTAGTTTAATTCTCTGATAGAATGTCAGTGAGGTGCTGAATGGAAAAGGTGCTCACGTTATTCCATGCAGTTTGAGTCAGTACCTTTGCACCCTAACCCGATTCATGCCCTAATTAATCTCACCAGTACACAAAGCTCCAAAACTGCCATTAGTGATCCCCCCTCTCTCTCTCAGAAAAAACAAACTCTGTGTTGCAATTAATTCCATCTTAACTTCAAGCTCTGGACAAACACATCCCAGTACTTGTCAATGCTAAACTTAAAATTTTCTACAGCTACTTAGTCCTAAACTCACCAGTACTTAACAAAATTTCTTCTATGAAGTTGCAAAGAAGATAAAACAACAGAACGATTGTGCTAATATAAATAAAACTAACTGTATTTGTTTGAGGTCATTTCTTTGAGGTCATGAATATTTCAAAATAAATGATCGAAGATGTTAATATCCTCTATAAATATGGTAACATATAAGAGTGCAAAACAACGATGAATTGAATTGACAAGCAGCTAAATTGTTGTAATCCATTCTTAATATTAACTATGATGGAATCAACCATATTTACTATATATTATAAACAAGATATTATGCAAGATAGATCAACGAACTCTTCATGTTTTTCTGTCCTTTTTTTTTCCCCTTTATATTGTTATTGTTACATGCACCCTGCGAATCATAAAGGATTTAGAGAGAGCCAAAGCGATCGAAGATCAAAGAAAAGAGGTCATGATCTGAAGATCGAAGAAGGGAAAAGAAAAACAAAAGGAAAAGAGCAAATCAAGCAACATGATAAAGAAGGGGCCCGAGGGCCAGTAATATATCCGATAGCACTCGGGATTCTTCAACTACTTTACCTTAGGCCGGTCACCAAGCCTGAGTTCAAGATCCAATTCTTCTACAGTGCAAGGGTTAATTTCAAACACCTCAGACTTGTCAACTGAATTGGACTTTAGAAAGAAAGGTAATGATGATTTATCGATCCTCCGCTTCTTGCAGCTCGTAGGCTCCTCCTCGCTGTCCGATATGCTTAGGCGAGTTCGTCGAATGACCAAATTCAAGCTGGCCGACAAATCTGTTTTGTCATAATCTACTTTGGCTCTACATCCTGATTGTATTTTCCTTGAATTCTTCTCTCCTTCGGTGCTCAGATCAGAGATATGATAACATCTTTCAGTTGCTAACTTAGTTAGTGGGGGAGAGGAAGATCTAGGGGGTCTCTTTTGCTGTTCTTCAACAATAAAAGAAGAGAAAGGAGGAAAAAAGTCTTTTTCACGGCAAGTCTCTTGAGTAGGTCTAGAGGAGGAAGTTGGTGATGCAATAAGACCAGGATCAGAATTAGGGTTAGGGCTATAAACCAAGGAACAAAGCTGAGATGGGTATTGAAAACCGAAAGATGTATAGGGATTTTGAAGGTGACTGGGAGGATTTTGATTCTCATGTGGAAGAATTTCATTGTGAGGACTTGGAGATTGCTTTAGTCTAGCTCGATCCCTCCTGTGGACATTCATATGACCTCCTAGAGCTTGAGCAGACCTAAATTCTCTTCTGCAAAAGCTACAAGAATAAGATCTCGGAGGCCATATACACCCTCCAAGAGGCCCAGCTGCATCTTCAGCGAAAGCTTGTTCTTCCCAAGAATCATCAAATGAAGGATTAGTTGAGGCCGGCAAATGAGAATTCAAATTATGCTTTCGCTTAGTCAACATCCAATACCGAGCTTGCTCCATATATTGGCCAATATCTGGTGAGTGACTCTTCCAAGTTTGAAGAATATACAGGATGATAGAACAAGTGTTAAAAAGGTGATAGAAAATGAGAGGAGAGGTTGGATGCAAGAGGGACAGAGAAAACGCTTAGCTGATTGCTTAGACAAGTTGTCTGGTAGATAAATTGGTGGGTACTCTACCTTGGTTGTCTTAGTGTAGCAACTTTTTTGGTTTTTTTGTTTGGTTCTCAACACTGTCTACTGTTTAGAGGGCTCAAAATTTTCTTTTTCTTTGCATTCAAGGGGAACAATGGTTGAGTATTCACTGGAGTGGGTCCAAAAAGAGTCTTGCTTGCGCTGTTTATCTGTGCTTATAGACAAACTGAGATCATGTCTGACTGAAATCTCCTTGGAAAGACCCAAGCAAAAGACGAAAAGATGCTTTAAATGTGCACATATTTGTGCTACACGCTGTTTGGATATATGCCTTTGGACTTGAAATTACTACTATTCCATGACATATACTAAGCATTATTTTCCTCTGCTGATTGCCCTCTGCCAAGAATGCCCAATAATGCTAACAGGCGTTGAGAAATATTACTTCACCTTACCATTTTTCTTTTCATCTTTATGCTCGTACTAAACAGGTGAAAATAAATTCTTGAATTATTCATATCATAAACTTATTCAGAGAGTTCGTAAAAACAAAAAACTTGTTGAGCAAACAAAACAAAGCATTGGGCATAACCTGCCCGCTGTGTATATAAACTTTGAAGCATCTGAAAAAAAATATATGCATCAATTTGCTGATGATTCTGTTCCCTTGACAAAATGGGTCTTCATCTAGTGCCAATCTTACCACTACATTCTTCACTAATCCTTGTATTTTCTTTCATAACAAATTCACTTGTCTGGGTGTAACTAATTAATAAACAATCCCACGCACCATAACATTGTTATCTTCACAATGCCAGCGCAAGTATAAAGAAATTTTAAAGATCATTTAAACAAAGTTTATATATATATATATGTTGAATTACAATTGTATAATCGTCATTTCCTTCTCTAAATTCGATTTAATAGCAAATTTTGTCCTTATTCTATTGCAAATTTAGTAATTTTGAACTTATAATATTAAATTATATAATTTGAAATCCAAAGTATTAGAGATTGAGCAAATATGATCCAAATAGTTCAATTTTCATTATGTGTAATGATTCATCTAGTTGACTATTACTTGAAATGCTACAACGACAAAATTTTGACATTCTGTTATTAATTATATTTTTAAAAAATATTTTTAACCTCTTAATCTTGAACTTTTTTTCTTATAAAATATTATAAATATTTTATAAATTATATATAAAAAAACATTTTATAAATATTTAATCATCCTAATTTTGAACTTTCCTTTTTATTTAGGAAGGTCAACTCTAATTATGCTCACTTTAATTAAGAAATTTTTATAATGCCTAAAATTGTGTATTGTTAATTATGTTTTTTTACAAAAATATTTTATAATTTTTTTTTAAAGTTCAAAATTGGGCTTTAAAAATTTTCATAAAAAAGTTTTTTTTTTATATAATTTATAAAATGTTTATAATATTTTATAAGGAAAAAAGGTTTTTTTTTTTTTATAAGAAATTTCAGGATTAAGAGAATTAGAAATATTTTATTTTTTTTAAAAAAGAAAACGTAATTAACAGCGGAATACTAAAATGATGTCGTTTTGGTGTTTTAAAGTACATATAATGAAAATTAGATAATTTAAATCATATTTACCTAATTTCTAATGTTTTGAGTTTTAAATTATGCCATTTGGTAACATGTATTTGAAAGTCAAATCATAATAAAATAGGGGCAAAATTTGTCATTAAACTCTTTAAATTCAGCCCACTTTCCTAAGATTTGCACCTCATAAAATCTCTAGTAGAAATTTTAAAAATCAACTAATGAGTTGTCCTCTAATTTAAGGTTGGTTACACAATAGAGAGGGTGTGCTTCCTCTTCAATAACTGATTTTTAAATTTTGCAGATTGACCTACATGATGCAACAGTTACCTATAGAGAAAAGCATTTGACCACATAATCACATAGAAGATATAAGAAAAAGCACCTTCAAATACCACAAAACTCCATAGAAGATGTAAGGCAAGGTTAGGAAAAGCAAATTCGCATATGCCAACATGCATTTCTAGCCATTTGATTATCTAATAATGTTCATCCGTTTCTTCTTTTTTTTTTTTCTTTTCTTTTCAATTTGTAGGAAACCATATTTTTAGTTTATGCTAACTCTTTTGGGGAAAAAAAGAAAGAAAGAAAGAAGAAAGAAAAAGAAGAAGATTAGCAATCACCATTGGATAATCATAAAAAGAATCCAATGGCTGGAAATGCACGTTCGCATATGGGAACGTGCTTTTCCGGTTTTCCTAGCCATTCCTAAGATATAACTGGGGACAAAGTCCACAAAACTGACTAATTTATTAAGGGGTTATTGTTCTTCGAATTCCAAGGTTTCTCAATCAGTGTGTTAAATTATTTTCTCCAACCAACTTCTGAGGAGTTTAAATCATGTTAAATTTTAATTTTTAAATAATACTTGTATTCTTCGTGCAAAGTATTTTCTTTTCAAAAAATATATTATTTTTTTCATTCTTTTACAATGGTAATGAATTTTACATGAAAATAATTATTTGCTATTAGATAAATATGAAAAATAAGTGCTACAAAAGAAAAGACAATAATTGATTATTAGTTGGGTTCATGATATAATTAATGACAAATATGGTTTTGTAAAATATTTTTAACTCTTGAGAACTTAGGTTATTTTCCCTAGTTTTAAGCTTGTTTATCCTTTTACCATAAAATACTTTTTATTGATCAAGTTTTCCCAGATGCGCTGAACATGAACAAATAAGAAAAATAGTTTACCAAAAAATATTTTATGCTAAGTATGTACCAATTTCTTCAATAGCATCAATCGACTAAATCTGTTAAGTGGTTATTGATTTTTCCTTTATTTAATGCACCATCAATTAACTTTTCCCAATTGACATCAAGAAAGGTTCTCAAAATGTTTTTAATAAATTAAAAAAAATTACTCATTGCATGTGAAAGTTTCTCAAAGTTATTTTAATTAAAATTAAAAGAGTAAATTATTTTAATTTTATGAAAATTACATCTATATTATATTTATTTTTACAAAATTTCTCAAAATATTTTTTTTAAAACCAAACATTAAAGTGATAAAAATTTAAATAGCTTTTGAAAGTTGTTATATATATATATATATATATATATATATATATATATATATATATATTGTAAAAAAATTTTAAAAGTAAAATTATTCATATGTTTTTAATTTTTATTACAATTAATTTTTTTTTAAATATATTTGTTACTATAAATATATTGGGATCAATGAGTAAAAGGTTTTATTTAATACCTTGCGTGATCGCTTTTAAATTATGGATTTTCTTTCTTAGTCTGTAAATGTTCTATTTTTTAACAAAATATTGTTGACTATTAATTGAAATATTATTTAGGAGGGACTTCCTATATTTCTTATTTTTTATTTTTATTTATGATGAAAAAAAAGAGAAAATGACAAATAAAAAAAGAAAAAAAAACACTATAATACGTTACAAAGATGGCGTAAAGCCATCCTAATACAAATAGAAAGAAGAATAATCTCTTTGAGAGAGAGAGAGAGAAAATAATATCTTTAGGAAGAAAATCTAAAATACTCTCATATGATTCCCTAAAAAAAAAAAAAAAAAAAAGATTGTTAGAATACCAAAATTAGGAATTCAACGATTGCCTTCTCTCAAGAAAATATGGGTAATGCAACCTTGTCAACTTCTAGCCAATAAGCTTCGAATTGCGTACCGAAGGGTCTTCGTGACGGTCAATAATATGTTGCCAACAAGTTTTAACTTGAACTTCTTAATCCAGCTCCCAACCCCACCTTTCTGAAATCCACGTCTAAGCCAGCTTTTGCATCGACTGGGGCCCTAATACTGATCATCTAATCACTTTCCGAGTAGTTCTTCTATCTCTCCAATTTTAGATTCCTTTTGTTTTGCCCTTTTAGAAGAATCAAACTCACCATTAGATTTTACACATTTTTGTAATTTAGCACACCGAATTGCAAGGATTGGAATAATACGCATTTAGATGAATTATTAGGTACTTTCAAAACATATTCCTTCGTTTCAATAAAAAAGAAATTTATAAATTATTACTACGATGAATCCCATTTTCATGTGAATGGTAGAATGGTAAAGTAATACCGTTAAAATATCTAATAATTTTTCACAAATTCAAACTAAATAAATCAGCCCAATCATTAGTAAATATGGCCAGTCTAATAAAAATCAGTAACAACTAAAATTCAAAATATATGTAACCATTAAGTTAATATAAAAAAAAGCCATATATACCTATTAACCCATAAACCTCATAGTTTTCGTAAATACATGGTAGTTTTGAGTTTAGAAACGATAATATTGCTGTATAAGGAATAAATTACAATATACAGCTATCTATATTAATAATTGGATAATAAAAATTGCTATCACTCTACACTTTTATTTCCGTTACATAAATTCATTGTGAGAGTTTCTCTCCCTATCAACTTCAAGTAGATGCTTTGCCCTAGTCAGCATTCTCCATCGCTTCTTTCTAACAAAAACTATTCTTTCCAAAAAATTTCCCAATTTATATGGATACTATTTCACCCGGGACCATAATTATTATTTTTTTGTTTTCTTTCCCTTCTCCCCTCTTTTCTTCTTAACCTTTAGTTTTTTTAGATCTAATAAAAGCTCAATATGTGGATTTTGTTCTTTGTTTCAATAAATATCCGATCCAAATTATATCAAACAGAAGCATTTGTGTACACATCTAGATTGCTTAGTATTTTGTTTATGTATCTTCCTTATTAGGGTTTTGATTCTTTACTTGTTAGGGTTTTAATCCTTCTGGACGAAGATTTGATTGTTATTTCTAATTGATTGG